ATCGCCGAATGAGTTGTTGACGATTACCATATATTGAGTGCAGGCACTCTACCGGACCACAGCCCAATGCCGATGCATCTCACGAGTTACGAAAAGGGAAGCGTTCTTGAAAGATTTAAAAATAAAAACGGCCTAAAAAAAACGAAATTTCGTAAATCTGAATGGCTTCTCAAATTAATTTAAAGATGTCTGTTCGGACAGCCGTTGCAGCTGTACTCCAAGCCCAAACATTTGCACCTCCATCACTTTCAATAACAACAACAACTGACCAATCACTAAAACGATTGAATGCTCGTTAAATTTAAAACGAAACACACAAAAAAAACATTGTAATAGCTTTTTACCCTTTTATCTGGCACCAAAACTGCCACCTTTATACAAGGGATCATGTTTGCAATAACCACAACACAAGCAGTCAAAATGCAAACAAAAAGAGACAACTCTGATAATAATATTGGCACTGCCCTTGAAATTGATTGGTCCACACCCGAGACGGCTTTTCTTAGAGCCTAGCCTCCACTGGTGTTGGAGCAGATGACGCCAAAATGCGCATATCATTATCAGAGTTGTCTCTTTTTGTTTGCATTTTGACTGCTTGTGTTGTGGTTATTGCAAACATGATCCCTTGTATAAAGGTGTCAGTTTTGGTGCCAGATAAAAGGGAAAAAAACCTATTACTATATCTTGCTACTGGCAAAGGAGGTGTCATAGTGTAAAAAAAACCCCATTATTTAACCTTTTCAGGGAACTTGCCGAAAGGGACTGCTGCAATGTTGGCATGACCCGAGCCAAGGGGGGACGATGACGATGATGACGACGTTGCGGAGGCGGCGTTACTGCTGCTACTGTCGCGGAGGGATGGGGCAGCATCCACCACCCCCCCACCTCGGGGGGGTGGTGGTGGGGGGGGGGGGTGGTGGGGGGGGGCTTCTTGTTTTTGATGATCTCGCGTGCCGGAGTCAAATTTCGTTCGCGGCGTAAATTCGATTTTAGGTTCATCGACAAAAGGTGTCCCTGATTTGTCAAATGTGTTACATTTCGTAAAAACCTGGTACGCTCGTAAATCGAGGGCTGCCTGCATGATTATTTCTATTCACCAGAGAATATTCGTAATAAAGGGGGCGGGGGGTGGGGGGTGGGGGAGTTAGATCGCGTAAATATAAATGTGTTGCTTAAACCCGCCACCACCCGGCACAGACAATTAGTAAGGTCTGTCACGTGCCGACTAGCTACTCGTTCAGCACTAGCCGGTTGCGTGTTGGAGAGTAAAGCCACAACATTTACAATTCGAGTTCGAAAATAATATTTCATCGAATGTACCCAGTTTTCCGTGTTCCAATGATTCATGTAGAAACCTATATGTATTTAATGTTTAACACGTAGGCTTTCGCGACCAATATCATCCAACCCCCCACCCCCTGTTCTATTATGGACATTTCAAATGCTTGGAATTACGAACCCAACCCCAGGCCGCTCCCACCTTGAACAGCTTCTCAATTTCTCCCGCGGCCTTTTCAGTGGCGCCGATTAATGTTGGTTCGCAGGCATCTACCAAAGAGAAGGCTGCCGTCTCTGGCGTGGACCTACCGGTTTCCAAGACGATGCATTATATATTGTGGTGCTCACCACAAAGTACGCGTGGCTAATGCAGACCATGATTTCTTGAAAAAGGTTTCTGTTTGGTGTTTGAACATCGTGACACCACCTGTTTTTTTTGCCGGAATGGATGAAATTAATTCCTATATCATCGCCACCGCCATCACCACCAAAAACAAATCACCATCGCTACCAGCCATCCCCATCACCGTGTTCACCACAAGGACGCGCGCTTAAAGCAGACACGCGTCCTTGCTAAAGGTTTCTGTTTGCTGTTGGAAACATCTTAACACCTCCTGATTTATATTGCCGGAACGGGTAAAAAAAAAACAATTGTTATATTTTGATACTGGCAAGAACGGTCCCGTGATGGAGCGTCGATTCCGTCGGCGACGATAGCGCAGTGAGGGCCGCGGTGCTTAACTCGCGAACCCGCGGCTTTAATTGACGGCGAATTGGCGTGAGAACTCGGGGGCTGGGATAATTGTCGCCCCCCCACCCACCACCACCCACCAACACCCACCACCCACCCACCAACATCCACCCACCACCCACCAGCACCCACCAACACTCACCAACACCCACCACCACCCCCCTCGGCGCTCGCTCCAAACAAACGCATTGATCTCTTGATTAGCTCATTGATTCATCGCGTTTTAAATGGGAAATTAAGCCCCCCTCCACCCGCAGCCCTGCAATTGTACGTATATTAAACTTCTTCCGCACCGTACGTAGTAGCCAACCGTGCTAATCGGAGGTGCAATTGCAAGCTCGCCGACTCCCCCCCCCCCCCCATAGTATTTGGCCTACTCTTCCACGCTTCAGCCAAGAGAGGCCTATGAGTGACCCATACTTGCTCCCTCCACCGCGCGCGACCTCGCCGCGATGTGTACACCGGTGGGACGCGCCTGCCCGTTACCCCGCCTCACGCGCACCGTCCGTCAAATCCACTGCTAGATGAGCTGCCCCTGCCCTCCACACTTCACTGCCACCCCTCTGTGGCTGCCCACGGAGCGTGTAGCACCTGCCGGGCGCGCACCGTGCTCGCCCATCCCGGCGCTATCCAGGCCAACGCGCCCCACTTAGCTCCCATACAGAGATCCGGCGCATTTACGCGGTGGTGAGGGTCATAGGCGCAACACGTCGGGGTGGTCGGGGAAGCGGTGGTGCAGCGGTTAGCGCTACGCTGCGCTACTGAACTTGGTTACCCGGGTTCGATTCCAGCTTCACGGCCAACACCGGTGACGATTATCTGAACCGGTCCTGGGCCTCCCCTAGGTCGACTCGGCCTCAAATTAGTACCTGGTGTGATGTGTAGTAAACATCGCCACTGGGGGAGACAAAGGCGGTCGGGCGTGGTGCTGGCCACTCACCCTCTCGTGTGCCGTGCCGGCCTTCATAGGCGCTGCTCGCTAACAGCACTTTCCCCAACAGTCTGTTGAGGCTACACGGGGGATCTTTGTGGGTGGGATGGCGGGAAGCCTGGATAGGTGCTCGCAAACAGCCATTGATATCATTGAGAGCAGTGGCGTAGGTACTTATGTTATCAGCTCAGGGTGGTGCGGCAATCGATCAGGTGGGGCCTCCAGTACTTGATTTGAATACAAAAATTCAAGGACAAAAAAACTTGGAACGTAAATGAAAGCATTTTTTTTAAATTACTACTTTTTTAAAATTATTAAAATTTTACCGCACAACTCGTAGCTTAGGCCACCAAGGGGGTTGAGGGGGGGGCAAGGCACCCCCCCCCCCCCTCTGCGTGCCCCCCACGCTCGTGAAGCGACTGATTCAGAGTCGAAGCAGCTGTCGGGGTGACGGATGTCCCAGCACTCGCCGACTCACTGCAGTGACTCGCTCACTGACCGGCAGGCAGTCGCTTCCACGTCACTCTTCTAAAGCCACCACTACCACCGTGGCCGCGGCTGGCGTGAACTTGACCCATCACCACCACTACCACCGTGGCCGCGGCTGGCGTGAACTTGACCCGTTGCCACCACTACCACCGTGGCCGTAGGCGGCGTGAACTTGACCCGTCACCACCACTACCACCGTGGCCTCGGCTGGCGTGAACTTGACCCATCGCCACCACTACCACCGTGGCCGCAGCTGGCGTGAACTTGACCCGTTGCCACCACTACCACCGTGGCCGTAGGCGGCGTGAACTTGACCCGTTGCCACCACTACCACCGTGGCCGCAGCTGGCGTGAACTTGACCCGTTGCCACCACTACCACCGTGGCCGCGGCTGGCGTGAACTTGACCCGTCGCCACCACTACCACCGTGGCCACAGCTGGCGTGAACTTGACCCGTCGCCACCACTACCACCGTGGCCACAGCTGGCGTGAACTTGACCCGTTGCCACCACTACCACCGTGGCCGCGGCTGGCGTGAACTTGACCCGTCACCCCCACTACCACCGTGGCCGCGGCTGGCGTGAACTTGACCCGTCACCACCACTACCACCGTGGCCACAGCTGGCGTGAACTTCACCCGTTGGTTCCTCCTCCACCCGTGTTGCTGGCTCGGTCATCACCAGACACTGACCGTGTCGTCTCATCCACCATCACCACCACCACGCTGCGTCCAACCACCACACTGTGTTAAAGCACTACCACCAGGACCACACAGATCACAACAGCGCACTCACTCACCCACTCACTCACCCACTCACTCACCTACCCACTCACCCAGGGGCGGGGGGAGGAGGGGGGGGGGTGTGTGTGGGGGGGCTTCCGTGATCTTGATGGGGGGAGGGGCACCATACCAACCAGGTTGAGAAGCGCTGCTCTTGGGCGGTGTTCTCTCCATTGCAAGGCCCACGGGCAACTGGAGGCCCCTGGTGGCCTTTAGCGCGGCCCCTGACGTGTGACCCCCCGACAACGACACAAAGAGTGACAACACCCCCCCCCCCTCCACCCCCCATCATCATCGCCGTGCTGTCAAACCACCCCCCCCCTCTCAATGGTTTCAACTGGTGTGGCGGCACTCACACTGATGATGTCTTATCGGCGACAGAGGCCCCCCCCCCAAACCTGTTCTGACAATTAGCGAAGAACACTGCTCTAGAAGGTTCTCTCTCTTTCTCTCTCTCTTGTTCTCTCGCTCTCTCTTTCTGTCGCTCTCTCTTTCTCTCGCTCTCTCTTTCTCTCGGTGACTCTTTCTCTCTCTTTCTCTCGCTCTCTCTTGCTCTCGCTCTCTCGCTCTCTCTTGCTCTCTCTTGCTCTCGCTCTCTCTCGCTCTCTCTTTCTCTCCGCGGTTTTGCAATGGCGACGTCGCTGTACTCGATGTTGGTGACCCCGTATCAAAAGTGGCACCAGAGCTGTTGCTGCTGGCAGCAATTAAATTGGTTAAAAGTCTCTTGCTCTCTCTCACTCTCTTTTTCTCGCACTCTCTCTCGATCGCAGAGGCCTCCGATCTGGAGAAGGAGAACCCGGGCTGTAAGCGGCGTCGAACCCGGACCAACTTCTCAGGCTGGCAACTCGAGGAGCTGGAGCGCGCGTTCACGGAGAGCCACTACCCGGACGTGTTCATGCGCGAGGCTCTCGCCCTGCGCCTCGACCTCGTGGAGTCGCGGGTGCAGGTGAGGAGAGAGATATAAGAGAGCGAGAGACGGACTTTTTTTTTTAAGCTTTTAAACTACTTTTATTGCTTGCCAGCAGCAACAGCACCGGAGCCGATTTCGATACAAAACAAAGTCACCAGCAACAAATAACCAAACACAATATATATTTTTTAAAAACACGCGCTGTGGCACGTGGCGCTAGACGCGCCATGCACAGAGCGAGACCAGAGAGAGGGAGGAATGGAGACGTAGAGGCGAAGAGACAGAGAGTGAAAGGAAGAGGGAGAGCGAGGGGAAGAGATAACAGCACAGAGCGAGAGAGAGAGGGAGGGAGGAAGAGAGAGTGAGAGAGACGGACAGAGAGTGAGAGTAAGAGGTAGAGCGAGGGGAAGAGATAACGGCACAGAGCGAGAGAGAGAGAGGGAGGGAGGAAGAGAGAGTGAGAGAGACGGACAGAGAGTGAGAGTAAGAGGGAGAGCGAGGGGAAGAGATAACAGCACAGAGCGAGAGAGAGAGGGAGGAAGAGAGAGTGAGAGAGACGGACAGAGAGTGAGAGTAAGAGGTAGAGCGAGGGGAAGAGATAACAGCACAGAGCGAGAGAGAGGGAGGGAGGAAGAGAGAGTGAGAGAGACGGACAGAGAGTGAGAGTAAGAGTGAGAGCGAGGGGAAGAGATAACAGCACAGAGAGAGAGAGAGGGAGGGAGGGAGGAAGAGAGAGTGAGAGAGACGGACAGAGAGTGAGAGTAAGAGTGAGAGCGAGGGGAAGAGATAGCGTCACGTCAGAGTTTCTGGGCGGCTCAACTGGGACACACAAGAACGCCCGAGGTTGAACGGTGATCGTCACTCATTTACCGAGGAGAGCCACACCGAGTCCCAACGTAGCAGTAGGATCCCGCTCCCTTGGGATGTTTGTCCACCGCCAGTTCCACTGTGGGTGTGGGTTTAGCTATGGGAGAGGGGATAACAGGCAGAGCTCGGAGGAAGCCCATGCAGAGCAGGCGGAGAGATTACAAACTCGTGGTGAGCGAAGGTGCCCAAATCTAATCGCGAGTAGATTTGGTCTCTGCGCTATCGTTTTTTTTTTACAGGGTAGGGATATCACAAAAAAACAGACAAAGATCTCCCATATAGCCTTCAACTGGCTGTCGGGGCAAGTTCTGCTAGCGAGCAGCAGCAGCAGCTATGAAGGCCGGAACCACACACGAGGGGGGGGGGGCGATGTGGCCAGAACCACCACGCCCGGCCGCCTTTGTCTCCCACATGCTGATGTTTACACGCCGCCACACCGGGTACTGTTATTCATTTGCGTCTGAGTCGACCTAGAGGAGACCTGTTCAAAATATTCGTCGCTGACTCTTTTTTTCTCCCGTGAGCGGGAATCAAACTCGGGTCGCCGCCGGATTCACGATGGGAGGCGCTGCTGCTGCCACAGACACAGCATCCACAGACACAGCGTCCACAGACACAGCATCCACAGACACAGCGTCCACAGACACAGCATCCACAGACACAGCATCCACAGACACAGCATCCACAGCATCTACAGACACAGCGTCCACAGACACAGCGTCCACAGACACAGCATCCACAGCATCTACAGACACAGCGTCCACAGACACAGCGTCCACAGACACAGCATCCACAGACACAGTATCCACAGCATCCACAGACACAGCATCCACAGCATCCACAGCATCCACAGACACAACATCCACAGCATCTACAGACACAGCATCCACAGACACAGCACCCACAGCATCTACAGACACAGCATCCACAGACACAGCATCCACAGACACAGCATCCACAGCATCTACAGACACAGTATCCACAGACACAGCATCCACAGACACAGCATCCACAGACACAGCATCCACAGCATCTACAGACACAGCGTCCACAGACACAGCATCCACTAACACAGCATCCACAGCATCCACAGACACAGCGTCCACAGACACAGCATCCATAGACACAGCGTCCACAGACACAGCATCCACAGACACAGCATCCACAGCATCCACAGACAGAGCAGACACAGACACAACATCCACAGACACAACATCCACAGACACAGCAGACACCACAGTATCCACAGACACAGTTTCCACAGACACAGTTTCCACAGACACAGCATCCACAGACACAGCATCCACAGACACAACATCCAGAGACACAACATCTACAGACACATCATCAACAGACACAGCATCCACAGACACAGCAGCCTGCAGTAGTTCAGCAGTAGGGGTGGGGGGGGGCGATGTTGCTCCGTGATGAGAGTAATTGGAGGGTTACACTGGCAACAACAACTTGTTTGTTGTTGTCAGTGTTGGGCCGTGACGCGGGCACCACAATGGCCAGCTCTTCGTGCACGTGCAGTGACGTCACGCGGCCTTTGACGTCAGCGGTGAAGCCGACGCCGCGCGCGTTCGTGCACGCGCAGTGTTCACCAGGGCGGTCGACGCGGTCGAACCGCGAAGCTCTACAACAAAAACAATAATAATGTTCAGCCCCTCGTGTGGGAGTTGTTCGACCATACTTCACCACGATGGTCAGAGCGGCTTCGTTAGGGGGGAGGAGCGGGCTCTGGACCGGGACTGACGTCCCCGCCGCAGACCACGCCCACTCACTCGTTAGCCCCGCCCACGTGGTGAGTGGCCTCCTCTTATCTTTCTCCTATCTCATCCTCTGATCATCTCCTCCCCTCTCTCCCCCATCTCCTCCTTTCTCTCCTCCTCTCTCTCCCATCATCCCTCCTCCTCCTCCTCCTCTCTCATCTCCTCCTCTCTCTCCCATCATCCCTCCTCCTCCTCCTCTCTCATCTCCTCCTCTCCCAATATCTCCATTCTCCTGCCGCTCCTCTTTCCCATCATCAATCATCTTCCTCCTCTCTCCCATCTCCTGCTCCTCTCTCCCATCATCATCAACATCATCATCGTCGTCTCCCTCCTCCCTCGCACCGTCTCACCGCCAAATGAAGTGTCGCTGCGCGCTCTTTAGGGCGCTCCGATAACGCGGCCCTCCCAATTCGCCGGCGTTTCATTAAGAACGCCGATTAAGCCGCTCCACGCCTAATTATGCCTCCATTAAAAATCCGCGCGGAGGAAAACGGCGAATGGACTCCGCTTCGGCGCCAGGCGTCCGCGCGCCATCTCGCCCAGGCGACGCCTTCGGCGTGGACATCCATCCGCGTGTGGGGTTGTCGAGAGGTGTGTGTGTGTGTGACCTGTGTGTGTGTGTGTGCCCTGTGTGTGTGTGTGACCTGGGTGTGTGTGTGCCCTGGATGTGTGTGTGCCCTGTGTGTGTGACCTGGGTGTGTGTGTGTGTGACCTGGGTGTGTGTGTGTGTGACCTGGGAGTGTGTGTGTGTGACCTGGGTGTGTGTGTGACCTGTGTGTGTGTGTGACCTGTGTGTGTGTGTGCCCTAGGTGTGTGTGTGTGACCTGTGTGTGTGTGACCTGTGTGTGTGTGTGACCTGTGTGTGTGTGTGACCTGTGTGGGTGTGTGTGTGGCTCTGGGTGTGTGTGCTCTGGGTGTGTGTGTGCCCTGGGTGTGTGTGTGCTCTGGGTGTGTGTGCCCTGGGTGTGTGTGTGCTCTGGGTCTGTGTGCCCTGTGTGTGTGTGTGTGTGCCTTGTGTGTGTGTGACCTGTGTGTGTTTGTGCTCTGGGTGTGTGTGCCCTGGGTGTGTGTGTGCCCTGGGTGTGTGTGTGCCCTGGGTGTGTGTGTGCCCTGGGTGTGTGTGTGCCCTGGGTGTGTGTGTGTGTGCTCTGTGTGTGACCTGTGTGTGTGTGACCTGGGTGTGTGTGTGCTCTGGGTGTGTGTGTGTGTGCCTGTGTGTGTGTGTGTGCCCTGTGTGTGTGTGTGACCTGGGTGTGTGACCTGGGTGTGTGACCTGGGTGTGTGTGCTCTGGGTGTGTGTGTGCTCTGGGTGTGTGCCCTGGGTGTGTGTGTGCCCTGGGTGTGTGTACCCTGGGTGTGTGACCTGGGTGTGTGACCTGGGTGTGCCCTGTGTGTGTAGTGTAGTGGTTAGCGCATTGCACTACAAACCTGGCGACCCGGGTTCGATTTCCGCTCACGGCCAACACCAGTGACGATTATCTGAATCGGTCCTGGGCCTCCCCTAGGTCGACTCAGCCTCAAATGAGTACCTGGTTCAGTGTGTAAACATCGCCACTGGGAGACAAAGGCGGCCGGGCGTGGTGCTGGCCACCCACCCCCTCGTGTGCCGTGCCGGCCTTCACAGGTGCTGCTCGCTAACGGCACTTGCCCCAACAGTCTGTTACAGGCTACACGGGGGATCTTTACCGTTGCGTGACCAAATCAGCCGCGACGTGGCCCATCTCAACAACGCACACAACGAGCTCAGCAGGGTTGTGTCTGGATAGCGCTTGGATATGGGTGGACGGCAGAGGGGAGTACAGCACAAACTCCCCCGCACTGACCAGCATGGTGGTCAAGTATGGTCAGATAATCCCTGCACGGCGTGGGGGGAGAGAGAGGCCTTCCTTCAGCTGAACGTGGTGACGGTGACGATGATGACGAGGCGAGGAAGGAGGAGATGGTGAGGGTGGAGATTAGAGGGACGCAGAGGAGGAGTAGTCGCGCAGTGGTTCGCATATCTCGCTGGTAGTAAGATGGTCATTAGTATAAGGAGTCGAAAATCCACCCGTGTGCTCTCTCATTGTCATGCTCTGCTCGCTATCCTCCTCTACTTGGAGCATTGAGAGTCAATTTTGCTCTCTCTTATTTTGCTCTCTCTCTCTCTCTCCATGTAGTAATAATAAAATGCCACGATGATTTGCGACGTGAGATTACCTGTTTTTTTGAGTACTATATATATGCGTGTGTGTGTGTGTGTAATGTAGAAATTATCTAGGATTTCAATAGTATCCCGGCGATGGCGAGTCTACGAGCAGGAAGCGCACATTTTAAAGTGAGCGAGCGATGCGTAAAACTGCACGGGGCTTTCGTCAGCCGTTCTCTCTCTTCCCATCTGTTGTTCCCGGTCTCGAACGT